CACCTGGCCGCGCCTCATTCTCCCTCTCCCATGCGTGATGCCACGCCACCCTGCTAGGTGGCACTCCCTCACCACTCCGGCCATGCAAACACCGGAAAGCGCTTGTTGGCAAAATCAACAGCGGCAATCTCGCCGGAACCCGCAATTGTCGCCTGAAAACTCAAGAGACATCATCATTTTCATTAGTTTTTTTTTTCAGGAATCAACCAGATCCGTACAAATTCAACAACCTTCCAAAGAACTCATCAACGTCCGATCAAGAACTCGCCAGATTTCTCCAGTTTTCTTCAAGAACACTCGCCCAGAATCATCATCTAACTCCACTAAGATCTTCATCACTTTCGATCAGTTTTTTCTCAGATCTTCGAACATCACCAAGAACTGAGCTCCTCCAGATTCATACGCGTTTTTCTAAAAGCTCCTCCAAGTTATTCATCATATCTCCATCCTTTGATGAACAAACCATAACCCTCTCCGATTTCCGCCATGAAAAACTTCTGTTTGTTCTTCAGATCCTTGTCTTTTTGCGAAGATCTTCCAGATCTTCATCCCAGTTCATTCGGTGTTCATCCTTTCCAGAAAACTTCATCTCAACATCACAACACTCATAGATCTTCAACTTGTTCATCAATATTTCATCGCCATCATCATAATATTCATCCGCTTTCCCAGTTTTTCCTTCAAGAACTTCATCTCCAACAAGTTTAACTCGTGAAATTCAGATCTACGAACAACCTTCTGCAAGACTCATTCAAGATCTTCATGCTACATCTTTTCAAAATTCTCCAGGCGTTCGTAATGTTCTTCTAAGATCGTCTTCACTATCCATGTCTTTCAGAAGAACTTGTCACATGCGTGCACATTCATCAGCCTTCAGATTTCTTTAAAAGAATCCACGAACTTCAACATGCGGCCACAAAGCATCCTTCAACCTCCTTTGATTTCCTTCGTGGCTCACTGATGACGACGGAAGAGACGTAGAGACTGAGGGAATATTGAGGTAGTGAAAGAGGGAGGCATCTGGGATTGTTGGTTTGAAGCAAAATGAGACGGAGGAGGTGTGAACCGGGAGTGGACGACAAAAACGGCAGCGAAGGCTGGTTAGGGTTTCTGTGAAGTGGAAGGAGGAAGGTGAAGGGTTGTTGGCTGATGGGCCTTGTGGCCCAAATTGCGTTCTGGATCCATCCCTCCGTGTTTTCGGACTACACTCCCATTGCCCAGCACGCGCCCCCCTGTTTTTTGTTGGTTTTTTCTGGTTGTATTGTGGGCTCAGGTCCGGTTTTGTTTTTACTGCTTCCACCCCCTGTTTAGTGGCTCTCCCCCTTTCCTTTATTTTTTTTAATTTCTTTTGTATTGGATATTGTGGTTGTAATAATTGCTAGTTTTATTTTTCCATTTTTTTTTCTTTTAGGGAATTATAGTTTATAGTTTAGAATATTAGCATATTTTTAATATAGATTTTATATTGTAGATTTTATATTCTATTATTCTATTAGGATATTATAGAGTTTTATATAGAATTTCCTATTTTTCCTTAGATAGTATTTCTTTTAATATTGTATATAGAATTTTCATTTCTATTTTTCTTATAGAATATTATAGCGTTTTAGGATAGATTTTTTATGCTATTTTCTATATGCATTTCCTCTTAGTATTTCTTTAGAGTATTTTCTGTTAGGAATTTAATTGCTAATTTTAGGAGTAGAATTTTATTTTCATTTGTGATTGGATTTCTCTCCTATTTTCTCTCCTGTCATCTGATTTTACTTCGATTTTATTTTTGGCTGGCCGTGTGACATGATTCAATTGGAGAATGATTTTCAATATCATTTCTCTATCTTGTCTTTGACACGGATATCAATACGCTACCTCTTAGAGTTTGATTTATCGTATAAGTCAAATCATGATGGTCTAAGCGTTACATTGGTTCTGATTCGAGCGTCCTCATCAAGGATCCAGAGAGGAGAAGATTGGAATGGAGCTTGCGCGTATGTCAAGAGCCAACGGAGCCGCTTCGTTAAACATCATCTTTCTTATTCAAGTCTTCGCGCAACCGTCGAGTATTGTGAGCTGTAGCGTTAGATACGTAGGAAATGGCAGTTGAGGGGTTTCCTCTCAATCGTCTAGAGTGTCTAGTATGGTACCCTTTGGGTGACATATGACGCACTCGCTCCTACGCCTTAGGTTCTTGCGTGTGTGTCCCGAGTTCCTTCTCGTTTAGGCGTAAGCCTGCTTCCTCTTTGTTCTCGCCGCCGTGCGATCGAAACCCTTTTCTCTCGCTGCTGTGCGATCGAGACCCTTTCTCTTGCCCCTGTGCAATCGAGACTTGCTTTCCTATAGCACCGAACTACGTTTGCTCTGATCTCTCGTGTCAGACGAGAGTACGTAGGCATAGAATTGCGATGATCCTAACGAGCTCCCTTTTTCTCTTTTCCCCTTTGCTGTAGTCAGCTGAACTACAGCTACTCTGATTTCTCGTACCAGACGAGAATATGTAGGCATAGGATGCGATACCCTAGCGAGCACACTAACAAATAACTTCTCTGTTCTCTCGTTTCCGTGCGAATGAGACTTTCCCGCTGACGACTAATGTTTCCCCTTTCTCTTGCCCTAGCGCAATCGAGGCCAGACCGTAGTTCTAGTTCCCGTAGGTCCCCTACCTCTAAACCCGACATACTGCGTCCGTTCTACCGCAAACAGGTAACGCCTAAGTCTCCGTCAAGCGAGCAGCATACACCTAACTGCTAGAATGCTTACGCTAGTATCGTCAATCCTTTCTCTCATCCCGTGTGATCGAGAACACCCTTGTTTACCCATAGTTAGCCTGAACTACGTTTTGCTCTGATTTCTCATGCCAGATGAGAATACGTAGGCACAAGACGCGACATCTTGGCGAGCAAATCTCCCCGTAGTTTCCCGAACTACGTTGACTCTGACTTTCCCATTGCACGAGGGAATACGTAGGCATAGAGCGCGATGCTCTATCGAGTCAGTTTCTTTCCGTTTAGACTTAGAAACCGTAGCTAGATTGTTTTTCACCCGTAGACAAATCAACAAGCGTGGATCCCATCGAGTACGATGGACGTGAGGGGTGCTAATACCTTCCCCTTGCGTAACCGACTTCTGAACCCAGACATGGTTGCGACGACCTTGTCTTATACCTTTTCGTCAGGTTTTTCCGATCGTTTTCTTTCCTGTTCTGAGGGATAAATAACGAAAGGTGGCGACTCTTCTGTTTTGCCGGCACCTTATTTTCGCGGTAGCGACAGTACCCAATACTTACCCGATATCGATACTTTAGTTAAAATGGAATATATAAGTATATGATTTTGTATGTTTTTTTAAAACTCAGAAAAATTGAGGATTAATTTGAAGAACTCATATGATTGAAGAGGATAATCTTTATATCTAAGATAGTTGCAATGGAGGGAAGATAAGTTTGATGACTGGGTTTGAGAAGTTTAAACAACAATACAATTGAAGTAATAATTAGAGTATAGATATACAGAACATAAAGTGGAAAAGAAAAAAGAAAAAGAATCTTCAATAATAATGATTTTAAAAGAATAAAATTGGAATTAGAAAATGGAAATAACAATTAGAAATATAAAAAATAATATTTTATTAATTTTAATTAAGGTTAGCATGTAATTAAATTTTTTATATTAAGAGTAGATAATTAATTCTACTTAAGAGCAACCAACCATTTTAAAATCGACAGGGCCGGCCTTTCACAGGCGCAACAGGCTCTATGGAACTGGGCCCCAAAATTTTGGGGGCCTATTTTTTTTTTTTTGAAATCTAATTAATATGAAAAAATTTAAAATATATATTATTTTTCCTCATTCCAAACGCAACCTAAAACCGAAAAGACGCTAAGGAAAATGAAACGTCGGCATTAAATTATTAGTTTAAACAATACTTTGAATTTTTAGTGTATTTTTTTATTATTAAATTATATATATATTTTAGATTTAGGCCTATTTATTAAATTAAAACAGGGCCTCCAGATTGATTGGGCCGGCCCTGAAAATCGATTTTGCACATTCTTAATGTCAAGGGTAAATTCAAACATAGACCGGATAAATATATTTATCACATGAAATATAATATCGAGTTAACTTAAAATTTTATAGTAATATTAATTTGTATAATTATTAGAATGACTATATTGAAAAATAAAAAATAATATAAAAATAGTTTTAATGGACTTCTTATGTGTTTTTTTTTAAATCGTAGTTGAATTAATATATATATATATATATATATATATATATATATATATATATATATATATATATATATATATATATATATATATATATATATATATATATATATATATATATATATATATATATATATATATATATATATATATATATATATATATATAAGACAATTTATTTTTTAAATTATTAAATAATTAATATATTTAATTTATTTTTAAACTAAATATATTATTCAATAAATCTAAATTACTCAATCTTAATTTTCAAACAACCCAAAACTATTTTGTCAAAATTGTTTAATATTTTAATATATTTTAGAGATGAATTAGAAAGAAATTAATAATTCGGATTAAAATGATGGCTTATTCTAAAATGAAAGATATGTGTATGGTTCTAGATCATTGGAATCCCACAAAAGAAAAGTTGATGCCGATATGTGACGCACAGAAACGAAGCCGACAGATTCATTCAATCCAAGTCGAAAAGCATAAGCAACGTCAAAATTCAAAAAGCAGCGTCACTACAATTTTCACACGCATTGTACGACAGGTGGCACTGCTTATTCTCCCATTTTCGCTACTCACAATTTCACACATTCTTTTTTCCCTATATATTTCAATTTCTCCCACCCAACCAAAACCATATTATCAACATTTTTTTTCTCTTCATTTCATTCCTTCCTTTCTTGCACGAATTCCTTGATCTCCTCCACCACCATCGCCAGACGGTTATTTCCCATTTTTGTCCTTTCAAGCTGTGAACCAGAAAATGGTTAGTATTTTTCATCGCACTCTTCGCGCTCTTTTTCTCTTTGTTTTTCGGTTTTTTATTTGCTGTTCTTCGTCACTGTGGAATTTCATCAAACAGAAAATAAGCAACCTAATTGCAGTTCACAACCAAAATCGATGACTGATTTGCAGTTTTCATAGAATTTTTTCGTTCTAACTGTTTTCGGAAGTTTCTGATTCTGTTTTTGTTAAATTTGATATGGATTCCTGCTCGATCTGATGATCAACAATGAATAGGGCAGAAGAGAAGGATTGTTTACGAATTTCATGATTTGTTGACCGCTATTTCGATTGTATTGATAGATATGATTTTATGATCGATTTGAGTTTTGAATCTGTTTTTGCAGGACTGTGTAGCGATTAGTTTAATTGAACTGTTTGGTTGTTTAGAAGGGGTACGGATTCAGCACTGTGTTTGAACCGAACCACTAGATTGGGTTGCTGGTTCTATCAGTGGTTATTGTGATTTGTGATAGCATTTGGTTTGTTTGATTTTTGAAAGAAAATGGATTTTCTGCAGTTAGGTTTCACTGCAGAACTATCTGGGTTAAGACTGATTCATTAAAAATACAATGTTAACCGTCCAATTTTTATCCAACGGCTTGGATTAGTTGACTTATGTGATTACTTTGGGAATTTCTGACTGCAAAATGTTGATTGATGTTAGAACACTATGTTTGAATATCATGAAATTAACATTAGCAGAATGGAGTGGAGGAGAATAAAGATTCTATTCCTTTATGCTCCACCCAAATCCAAATCGGAGGGGAAGGAATATGGTAGTAAGTGATGGAATGGAATGAAACCCATACCACTCCATTCTGCTTCGCTCCATCTGATTTTAAATGATCTAAACAATGGAATATAATTTTATTATGCTCCATTCGATTCCATCAATCCAAACAAAGACTAGTCCATTGCATATGTTGATAAGGGAATGGATTTCTTGCCGTCAAATAGTGATGTGGGAAAGATCTCAACCATCTGATTTTGATCGGTGATCTACATAGTTATATTTGTTTATTGAGTTTTAAATTAGGATAGTCCAATTTTAATCAAATGATCTTCAATTAGGTTGGTCGATATGTGTTGGAACAAGACTTGGTGTTTGTTATTGATTGTAAATGTTATATAATATACTGGTAATGCCATAATGGGGTTGTTGATCTACTTATTTGTCCCATTGCAAGTGTATACGTAGAAATTTCCTTGTGTTCATTACCAACTCTGTGTTGATATATGAGATGTTTGTGAAATTTTACAGGCGAACGCAGCATCAGGCATGGCCGTGAATGATGAATGCAAGTTAAAGTTTTTGGAGCTTAAGGCGAAGAGGACCTACCGGTATATCATATATAAGATTGAGGAGAAGCAGAAGCAAGTTGTTGTTGACAAGCTTGGTGAGCCTGCAAATGGATATGACGATTTCACTGCCAATCTCCCCGCAGACGAGTGTCGATATGCTGTTTATGATTTTGATTTTGTTACTGACGAGAATTGCCAGAAAAGCAGAATTTTCTTCATAGCTTGGTAATCTTAACTTTTTGCTACTTGAAGCAACAATTAACTTTTAAGTTTGGATATTCAATATTTTTATGATTGATTTTAATCCAAGTATATCATTTTTGTTACTTTTGTTTGAAGGTGCCCTGATACTTCAAGGGTAAGGAGCAAGATGATTTATGCAAGCTCCAAAGATAGATTCAAGAGGGAGCTTGATGGAATTCAAATTGAGTTGCAAGCAACTGATCCTACAGAAATGGGTCTTGATGTGTTCAGAAGCCGTGCCAATTAAACTGTTGTGGTTGATTAGGATTTCTTATGCGGAATTGTCTATTGCACCTTAAGCTGTTGGGTGGTAAACTTGGTTAATTATAGACTTGATTTTCCAAGTTTCGACATGAGTCTATTGCACCTTAAGCGTTCCTATGTTATGGTCTATGACATATACCATGTGTTTGTGTCATTTTAATATTTAGTCTTATGCTTGCTAATTAATTTATTTTGTAACTATATTTCTTTGTGTAATGGGGCAAAAATTTGGGACAAGTTATATTGGAAATAATGAAGATTTATTTTCATTAAAGTTGTTCCAAAATGATAAAGTGGGTGATATATTTAATTGACAATAAATGCTTAGTCTCACATTGAAAGTGGAGTAAAATTAAATAGCATTTATAAGACTCTTGGAATAATGTACTTTCCAAAGGAGGCAAAGAGGATAAGAGCATCTCCAATGGTGCAACCCATTTTTAGATTATTTGTAGGACCCACTCTTTTAAAGCAATTCATTCAATTTTCACTCCAATGGTGCAACTCTAAAATTATAGTTTTTATATTATAAAATTAATATTTTAATATAAGAATCATTGAAGAACCGTTGCATATTTAAAAACTTTTCTATCTTGAAAACAACAAATATGAGTGCCATGTTGGCAAACCCACTCTAAGAACTCCCATTGGAGTTGGTCTAAGGTGCCACATAGTCATATGTGGTGGTCTCAAGTCTTATGTCACTTGTCTCATACAAAACACCCCTCCGGCTCCGGATTCGAGGGCGTAGAGGCGCTAGTGGCGGCTTGTAGACGGCACTTGGGCATGACGCATTGGAGCAATTGAGCTATTCGCGGCGTTAATGAGGCGGCGCCGGTGGCGGTCCGGCCGCCTCCGGCGGGCGGTCCGGCTGAATTTGTTTTAATTGTCGCTCCAGATTTTATTCGTTGCCTAGAGTTTGATTTTTGAATTTGAATTTGAAATATATGACACTTCAGGAAGTGGTGCATGACATTTTATTTGAACCATTGCAAATGCTCATTAGAGAGTGTTGTTTATGAAGAGTTGCAAACTTCCAAAACGACACATGCATGGCTATAAATATATACTTGATACTTCGAAATCAAATACTCCAAAATCTGATATCCTCTTCTATATAATTCCAAACATTTTCCTTGCATTCGAAATTTCACCAGTCTTGTGCAGTTTCGAGAAAAAGGCTGACTTATCCTGGGTATTCAGGCCGTTCCAACTCTAAGACAATTTGAGAGTGTGCTTGAAATACTTTTAAGGAAAGTGATTTCGTTCACGATTCAGTCTGGATCCATTCGACATTGAAGCATTATTTAACAATTTTAAAAGTATTTGTATCATGGATTCCGACGCTGCTGTTTCAAGCATCAAGGTTATGAATCAGGATCTTGTCAAATTGGACTGCTTCGATGGAAACAACTTTACCAGATGGCAAGACAAGATGACATTCCTGCTTACTGCACTCAAGGTTCACTACGTCTTGGATCCTGATCTGACACCAATTCCAGAACCAACTGAAGATGATTCTGACGAACTCAAGAAGAAGCGCATGCTGCGAAGGGAGGACGAATTACTATGCCGTGGACATATTTTGAACACGCTGTCTGACCGCCTATACGACCTATACACGGACAATCCGTCCGCTAGAGACATATGGAATTCACTGGAGTTTAAATTCAAAGCCGAAGAAGAAGGTACGAAGAAGTTCTTAATTTCTAAATACTTTGATTTTAAATTTATAGATTCCAAGCCCATACTTCCCCAAGTGCACGAATTGCAAGTCTTGGTGAACAAAATCAAAGCGGTGAAAATAGACATTCCTGAAATCTTTCAAGTTGGTGCAATCATTGCTAAGTTACCAAGTTCGTGGAAAGGCTATAAAAAGAAACTGTTGCACAGTTCTGATGACTTTTCCTTGGAGAAAATCCAGAAACATCTTCGAATCGAGGAGGAATCGAAGGAGAGGGAAAAATCAGAATCTGCGGGTCTTTCCAAAGCCAATGCTGTGACCAAAAAAGAAAAGAAAAAACATGATGTCAAGAAAAGTTATATCGCACCAAAAAGGGAACATACCAAATTCAAGAACTTTGGTGGTCCGAAGGGTCCGAAAAATGGATGCTTTGTATGTGGAAAACCTGGACATTATGCTCGAGATTGCAGGCAAAATAAATCAAAAAAGGAGATCAATGCAGTAAATGCTAATGATGATATAATTGCTACTGTGAGCAAAATTATGGCAATCAAAGGCAAAGTCCAAGGCTGGTGGTATGATACATGTGCCACGGTTCATGTCTCATATGACAGGGCTGCATTCAAAACATATTCTGAGACAAATGATGGACAAGAAGTACAAATGGGAAATGAAGTACGATCCAAAGTTGTTGGAACCGGAACGGTCGAACTCAACTTCACTTCTGGAAAGAAAGTTACTCTTGTTAATGTGCTTCATGTCCCAGACATGAATAGGAATCTTGTTAGTGGGGATTTATTGGGAAAACCGGGTATTAAATCTGTGTATGAATCGGGAAAACTTATTTTGACCCGTAATTGTGTGTTTGTTGGAAAAGGATATTCCGCTGAAGGAATGATCAAACTATGTATTACTGATAACATGATTAATGAAATTTCTAATTCTGCTTACATGCTTGATTCAGTTACTTTATGGCACAATAGATTAGCACATATTGGTATTAGTTCAATGAAGAGACTAATTAAATTTGGCTTGATATCATGTAATATCAATAATTTCAATAAATGTGAATTATGTGTTAAATAAAAAATGATTAAGAAACCTTTCAAAAGTGTTGAAAGAAATACAAATCTGCTTGATCTTGTACATTCAGATTTGTGTGAATTTAATGGCATGTTGACCCGTGGGGGAAATAGATATTTCATTACATTTATTGATGATTGTTCTAGATACACTTATGTATATCTCTTAAAGCATAAAGATGAGGCTTTTAATGCCTTTAAGATTTATAAAGCAGAAGTGGAAAATCAATTAAGTAGAAGTATAAAAGTCCTTAGGAGTGATATGGGCGGTGAATACTTTTCTACTGAATTTGATGCATTTTGTGAAGAACACGGTATAATACATGAATGTTCGGCACCTAGAACACCACAACAAAATGGCATAGTCGAAAGAAAGAATCGAACATATCAAGAAATGATGAATGCCATGTTATTGCATTCCGAACTACCTTTCAATTTGTGGGGCGAAGCCTTATTATTCGCTTGTCACATAATAAATAGAATTCCCTTAAAGAAAACTGGAATTTCTCCATATGAGGTATGGAAGGGCATGACACCAAATATTGGCTATTTTAAGGTGTGGGGGTGTGTGGCATATTACAAAAACATGGATCCTAAGAGAACCAAGTTGGGTCCTCGAGGGATAAGATGTGCCTTTGTAGGATATGCACAAAATAGCAAAGCATATAGACTTTTAAATTTAGAGTCTAATATTATTGTTGAATCCCGGGATGTAGAATTCTTTAAAAAACTTATCACTAAGGATAAAGAATCAGAGTCGGCCATAAATAAAGAATCTTGTGAAAAAGACTCTTCTCGGATTGTAGAAATACAACCTGAAGGCACATCTCGAATCATTGAACCACAACCCGAACCTAGGATAAGCAAAAGAGTCCGGAAAATAAAGAACCTAGGACCAGACGAAATTGATTCTCAATCCATTTCATTTTATCTGGTTGAAGGAAATAGTACAAATTTTATTAAAAGCATTCCGGTAATTCTTCAAGTAGGGGAAGATCCTAAAACTTATAAGGAAGCAATAGCTTCAAGAGACTCCTCCTTTTGGAAAGATGCTATCCGAGATGAAATGGATTCAATTATGTCCAACCACACTTGGGAACTTGTTGATTTACCAAAGGGATCAAGACCCATTGGATGCAAGTGGGTGTTTAAAAAGAAATATCATAGTGATGGTACATTAAACACTTATAAAGCAAGATTAGTGGCAAAAGGATTTAGACAAAAGGAAGGTATATATTATTTTGACACTTATGCACCTGTAGCAAGAACAACCACTATAAGGTTGTTATTTGCTTTAGCATCTTTGAATGATCTGATTATTCATCAAATGAATGTTAAAACAACATTCCTAAACGGAGACCTCGATGAGGAAATCTACATGGAACAACCAGAAGGATACGTCCTTCCTGGAAATGAACAAAGGGTGTGCAAACTTGTCAAATCTCTATATGGCTTAAAACAAGCACCAAAGCAATGGCATCAAGAGTTTAATTCTACGATAATGTCAAATGGATTTATTCCTAATTCTTGTGACAAGTGTTTATATACAAAAGTGTATAATAACACTGTAATATTTTTGTGTCTTTATGTTGATGACATGCTAATAATTAGCAATAAACTTAATAGAATTTTAGAAACAAAAAGGTTTCTAATTTCCACTTTCAAGATGAAAGATCTTGGACTTGTTGACACAATTTTAGGAATAAAAGTTAAGCAAAATAGTGGGGGTTATGAATTTAATCAAACACATTATATTGAGAAAATGCTTGATAAGTTCAAACATCTGAAATTCAAGGAAGTAACTACTCCATTTGATCATGTAATCAAACTTGAAAAGAATGATGGAAGAGCAGTGGCTCAATTAGAATATGCAAGTGCGATTGGATGTCTTATGTACTTAATGCAATGTACTAGACCCAATATATCATTTGCAGTTAGTAAAATGAGTAGATTTACTAGTAATCCAAGTAATGAACATTGGAAGGCAATCACGAGGATATTTGGTTATTTGTTGAAAACCAAAGATCTTGGCCTTCATTATGGTAGGTTTCCTGCTATATTAGAAGGATATACCGATGCAAGTTGGATCTCTAATGTGGGAGATCATAAATCTACAACTGGGTGGATATTTACACTAGCTGGAGGAGCAATTTCTTGGAAGAGCAAGAAACAAACATGCATTACTCTTTCGACCATGGAATCAGAGTTCGTGGCTCT